TATATAATGTCCCACAGTTGACAGGGCATGTCAGAGCAGAAACTATACCATGAAGTCCAAGGAACTGTCCGTAGATCGCTGAGATAGAATTGTGATGAGGCATATACAGTGGGGAAAAAAAGTATTTAGTCAGCCACCAATTGTGCAAGTTCTCCCACTTAAAAAGATGAGAGAGGCCTGTAATTTTCATCATAGGTACACGTCAACTATGACAGACAAATTGAGATTTTTTTTCCAGAAAATCACATTGTAGGATTTTTAATTAATTTATTTGCAAATTATGGTGGAAAATAAGTATTTGGTCACCTACAAACAAGCAAGATTTCTGGCTCTCACAGACCTGTAACTTCTTCTTTAAGAGGCTCCTCTGTCCTCCACTCGTTACCTGTTTTAATGGCACCTGTTTGAACTTGTTATCAGTATAAAAGACACCTGTCCACAACCTCAAACAGTCACACTCCAAACTCCACTATGGCCAAGACCAAAGAGCTGTCAAAGGACACCAGAAACAAAATTGTAGACCTGCACCAGGCTGGGAAGACTGAATCTGCAATAGGTAAGCAGCTTGGTTTGAAGAAATCAACTGTGGGAGCAATTATTAGGAAATGGAAGACATACAAGACCACTGATAATCTCCCTCGATCTGGGGCTCCACGCAAGATCTCACCACGTGGGGTCAAAATGATCACAAGAACGGTGAGCAAAAATCACAGAACCACATGGGGGGACCTAGTGAATGACCTGCAGAGAGCTGGGATCAAAGTAACAAAGCCTACCATCAGTAACACACTACGCCGCCAGGGACTCAAATCCTGCAGTGCGAGACGTGTCCCCCTGCTTAAGCCAGTACATGTCCAGGCCTGTCTGAAGATTGCTAGAGTGCATTTGGATGATCCAGAAGAGGATTGGGAGAATGTCATATGGTCAGATGAAACCAAAATAGAACTTTTTGGTAAAAACTAAACTCGTCGTGTTTGGAGGACAAAGAATGCTGAGTTGCATCCAAAGAACACCATACCTACTGTGAAGCATGGGGGTGGAAACATCATGCTTTGGGGCTGTTTTTCTGCAAAGGGACCAGGACGACTGATCCGTGTAAAGGAAATAATGAATGGGGCCATGTATCGTGAGATTTTGAGTGAAAACCTCCTTCCATCAGCAAGGGCATTGAAGATGAAACGTGGCTGGGTCTTTCAGCATGACAATGATCCCAAACACACCGCCCGGGCAACGAAGGAGTGGCTTCGTAAGAAGCATTTCAAGGTCCTGGAGTGGCCTAGCCAGTCTCCAGATCTCAACCCCATAGAAATCTTTGGAGGGAATTGAAAGTCCGTGTTGCCCAGCGACAGCCCCAAAACATCATTGCTCTAGAGGAGATCTGCATGGAGGAATGGGCCAAAATACCAGCAACAGTGTGTGAAAACCTTGTGAAGACTTACAGAAAACGTTTGACCTGTGTCATTGCCAACAAAGGGTATATAACAAAGTATTGAGAAACTTTTGTTATTGACCAAATACTTATATTCCACCATCATTTGCAAATAAATTCATTAAAAATCCTACAATGTGATTTCCTGGATTTTTTTTCCCTCATTTTGTCTGTCATAGTTGACATGTACCAATGATGAAAATTACAGGCCTCTCTCATCTTTTTAAGTGGGAGAACTTGCACAATTGGTGGCTGACTAAATACTTTTTTCCCCCACTGTATCTGGGGAAGGGTATAACACAATTTCTAGAGTGTTGAAAGTTTCCAAGAGCACAGTGGTCTCCATCATTGGGAAATTAAAAAATATGGAACTACCCAGACTAGAGCTGGCCGTCTGACCAAACTGAGCAACCGGCCAAGAAGGACCTTGGTCAGGGAGTTGACCAAGAACCCAATGACCACTCTGACAGCACTACAGAGTTCCTTGGCTGAGATGGGAGAACCTGCCAGAAGGACAACAGTCTCTACAGCACTTCATCAATCTCGGCTTCATGGGAGAGTAGCCAGATGGAACCCACTCCTGAGAAAAAGGCACATGACAGCATGCCGGGAGTTTGCAAAAATGCACGTGAAAGACTGAGAGCATAAGATAAAAAAAGATAATGTGGTCTGATGAGACAAATTATATTATTTGGCCTGAATGCAAAGCGCTATGTCTAGGAGAACACCATCCCTACCGTGAAGCGTGGTGGTGGCAGCATCATGCTACGGGGATGCTTTTCAGCGGCAGGGACTTGGAAACTGGTAAGGATAGAGGGAACAATGAATGGAGCCAAATACAGTCAAATCCTTGATGAGAACCTGCTTCATAGTGCAAACAACCTAAGACTGGGGCGAAGATTTACATTCCAACATGACACTGACCCCAAGCATACAGCCAAAGCATCGCTGGAATGGCTTCAGAACGAATGGGAAAGTCCTTGAGTGATATACCACATCTGTCAGCCAATCAGGCTCGACCCACCCAGTTTATAATATTATATAGTTTGTATGGCTATATACGTATAAACTAGCTATGATACAATATTATATTGTGATTATATTATATAGTTTGAATGGCTATATATAGCATAGCTATGCTATAATATTAGATAGTTACAGTGGGGAGAACAAGTATTTGATACACTGCCGATTTTGCAGGTTTTACTACTTACAAATCATGTAGAGGTCTGTCATTTTTATCATAGGTACACTTCAACTGTGAGAGACGGAATCTAAAACAAAAATCCAGAAAATCACATTGTATGATTTTTAAGTAATTAATTTGCATTTTATTGCATGACATAAGTATTTGATCACCTACCAACCAGTAAGAATTCCTTGCTCTCACAGACCTGTTAGTTTTTCTTTAAGAAGCCCTCCTGTTCTCCACTCATCACCTGTATTAACTGCAACTGTTTTAACTCGTTACCTGTATAAAAGACACCTGTCCACACACTCAATCAAACAGACTCCAACCTCTCCACAATGGCCAAGACCAGAGAGCTGTGTAAGGACATCAGGGATAAAATTGTAGACCTGCACAAGGCTGGGATGGGCTACAGGACAATAGGCAAGCAGCTTGGTGAGAAGGCAACAACTGTTGGCGCAATTATTAGAAAATGGAAGAAGTTCAAGATGATGGTCAATCACCCTCGGTCTGGGGCTCCATGCAAGATCTCACCTCTTGGGGCATCAATGATCATGAGGAAGGTGAGGGATCAGCCCAGAACTACACGGCAGGACCTGGTCAATGACCTGAAGAGAGCTGGGACCACAGTCTCAAAGAAAACCATTAGTAACACACTACGCCGTCATGGATTAAAATCCTGCAGCGCACGCAAGGTCCCCCTGCTCAAGCCAGCGCATGTCCAGGCCCGTCTGAAGTTTGCCAATGACCATCTGGATGATCCAGAGAAGGAATGGGAGAAGGTCATGTGGTCTGATGAGACAAAAATAGAGCTTTTTGGTCTAAACTCCACTCGCCGTGTTTGAAGGAAGAAGAAGGATGAGTACAACCCCAAGAACACCATCCCAACCGTGAAGCATGGAGGTGGAAACATCATTCTTTGGGGATGCTTTTCTGCAAAGGGGACAGGACGACTGCACCGTATTGAGGGGAGGATGGATGGGGCCATGTATCACGAGATCTTGGCCAACAGCCTCCTTCCCTCAGTAAGAGCATTGAAGATGGGTCGTGGCTGGGTCTTCCAGCATGACAACGACCCGAAACACACAGCCAGGAAAACTAAGGAGTGGCTCCGTAAGAAGCATCTCAAGGTCCTGGAGTGGCCTAGCCAGTCTCCAGAGCTGAACCCAATAGAAAATCTTCGGAGGGAGCTGAAAGTCCATATTGCCCAGCGACAGCCCCGAAACCTGAAGGATCTGGAGAAGGTCTGTATGGAGGAGTGGGCTAAAATCCCTGCTGCAGGTGTGTGCAAACCTGGTCAAGACCTACAGGAAACGTATGATCTCTGTAATTGCAAACAAAGGTTTCTGTGCCAAATATTAAGTTCTGCTTTTCTGGTGTATCAAATACTTATGTCATGCAATAAAATGCAAATTAATTACTTAAAAATCATACAATGTGATTTTCTGGATTTTTGTTTTAGATTCCGTCTCTCACAGTTGAAGTGTACCTATGATAAAAATTACAGACCTCTACATGCTTTGTAAGTAGGAAAACCTGCAAAATCGGGCAGTGTATCAAATACTTGTTCTCCCCACTGTATATAGTTTGTATGGCTATATATAGGCTAGCTATAATAGTATATAGATATTATATCATTTGGATGGCGTTATATAACCTAGCTATGCTATAATATTATATAGGTATTATATTGTTTATATGGCGATATGTAGCCTAGCTATGCGTGATAGTAAGTAATGAGATATAGGCTAGATGTCGATAAATGGCATGCTGACTGTAGGGGTGGTGATGGCATGAGGTGAGAGCAGTTTGACCCCCACTGTCCTGCTGCTGTAGCTTGTCCTGAGTGAGCTCTGCTCTTCCCCCTGTGGGGATAGCCAGACGCAAAGGTCAGGGTCATGGTTAGGCCGTCACCCCCGGACACCTGCAGTCACACTGAAACAGCAGGAGACACATGTATCATGACAGGAACCGCTAGCCCATTCACCCGTGATGTGTCCTGTGTGTTTCATCCTCTCCAGTCAATACTGAATCAACAGTGTGATGTTATCAGATTCTGTGTAACTGTCAGTTTAAGTCTCAGGCTAAGGTGAGATTGGTTGATGTGTCATTTCTCCCTCCTAGTCGCCCTTTGAGAGTGGCTAGGTGGTCTGTTAAAGCCTGGAGGTGTTGGCTGAAAACATCCTGAGCTCCAGATGTGATACAGCTTGATATATAGTTGAAAGACCGGGGTTGGTGATTTAAAATGGGAGCTGCCCTACCGCGATGGTTATCGGCCAACTTAAAACAGAAGCCCTGTAATTGAGTGGCCAAACTAGCCAATGTCTGAGAGAACGGGAGATTGTCAGGGAGAAAGAGATTGGTACCAGAGTCTGCATCCTAATGAGTTACCCCCTGATACGTTGTCAGGTAAAACAATGCTGACAAAGCAATGAAATGGACTTGGACGGTTGTTTTCATTATTTTTTGGTGCGAGCTCTTACCCGCCATGGGAGTTGCTATTAGTGCTTTGTCTCCCCTGTTGGTTTTGTGGCCCTCATCAACATGCTGTCGGGCTCATGGGGATTAATAGACTTTGCATTGAGCCGACCACTGCACCTTTCCATCAATGACCTGTAATACTAATAACTGCATTATACTGCATTAGCACTATGTACACCTCTGAACAACACTGTATGTACTCGATTCCTTCCTCTGCATATATAGATACAGGTAACTGCCAAAATAATGGAAATGGTTGAGTAAATGAGGGATACAAAGTGTATTGAAAGCAAGTACTTCCACATGTGTGGTTCCTGAGTTAATTAAGCAATTAACAACCCTAATCAACCATAATGCTTAGGGTCATATATAAAAAGAAATGTGTTTTATGTTTACTGTGTTTATATTGTGTATATTCTGTGTGTTGACCTTGTGTCTGTATTCTGTTTCTAGATTGTCTATTGCTGACAGCACCTTCTCACTAAGTCAAATTCCGGGGATGTGTAAATGTACTTCAATCAAATGTATTTATAAAGCCCTTTTTACATCCGCAGATTTCACAAAGTGCTATACTTGGTCATTAAAGTGATTCTGATTCTGATTTTGGTGCCATTGGAGCAGTTTGGTAAATTGAGTGTCTAGCTACTTGGAACTGTGAATTAAATGTTCTCTCTCGCCGTTCTTGGACGGTAGATTGGAGAACGGAGTGTGTATATGTGTCTCTGGTATGAGTAACTTGTGCGTGTGTGTGCAGTTTCTTTGACTGCAGACAAATTTTTCTGAGCAGTCAGACATTTCCCCCCCAAACACATACATTATTTGAATGGGACAGGATCCAGTGCAATGCGTAGTGTGTTGGGGGCAGTGGCATACATGAGTATAGAAGAGTAACTGTGTGAAAACGGTCTCCAGTGACCAAACATCTGAGGATGACCTTCACGTCTCCTGATACAACGGCTGTGTCCCAAATGGCACCGTAGTCCCTATTTAGTGCACAACTTTTGACCAGCGCCCATAGGTTTTTGGTCAAAAATAGCACACTATATAGGGAATAGGGTGTCATTTGGGATGCATCAGTGGTGCCTGGAGAAGGGGGTATACTCAAATTTTGCCAAAGAAGTCCCAAACGGCCCACCCAGCATAGGAAAGGTGCCCTGTGTGAAAAATTCTATGAGAAACAGTGACATACACTCTGAAGGACTTAAAATGATAAATCCCATATTGGTCTTTCACAGTCAGACCAACCCAAGCTGTACTGTGCAGGTAGGATAATAGTAGCCCTACTATAGAAACAGATAAATGAGGCTGTCAAGTGAGTCAGAAATTCACAGGTTTCTGAAGTGTTTATTTTTTATCAGGTTTTCTCTCTCAATGTCACACTTTTAATAGAACATCCAATTTAGTTGTTTTTCTAAGTCCATAACAATTCTTAAACCACATCAGCAGACCATTTTTGAGGTCTGGGAAAAATCTAAGAAATTCATTTGAGTGTAGTTACACTTTAATTCAAGTGTGCAGGCACCTAGCACTGTTGTTTGGTTAGCTGTTTCTGTCACATGAGATGGAGTTTGCAAAATAAATGACCACTGGATTGATGCAAGTAATCATGATATCATTCTGCCTGGTAGGCATAGGCTACTTTGTAGCTAGTTAACATTTAATTGAGGTTTTTGGGAAAGCATTTCCATCTACCAGAAGACGGTTAGGTCATTAGCATTGCTATATTTTTGTTGTTTGAAACCTGGATGTTTTACTTCATATTATGAGGCATGTCTTACCTTGCTTCAAAGTAGCCTATAGCCAAAATCCCCCCATAGAAACGTAGGCCTACTGCCGTGTGCACATTGCTGCGCCTAAAATGTGAAGAAATAATCATCAACATTTTAAGCTAAACATTCTGATCTGTTCCATCAGCCTTATTCATTGAATCAGCGTATACTTCCACTACACTACTTTGATACATATCAGTGGGGTTAAGAAGTGAGTATACGCAATGCCCACTGAAAAATAAGTGGGTATGAGACATATACCTGCGTATACCCTCCACTACACCACTGGGATGCAGTCCACCATTTTTTAAGTACAGCCGAATGGTGAACAGCCCGTCGAAAGTCAACAAATCTCAAGATCTTCGATTTCCGCCCAGGTCCTGGGTCAATTAAGAAACGCAAGTTGCCCGTTTTAACCTTGTGGATGACTTCTACCTATATCGTAGTATAGGGGGTTGAATTGGCCTTTTTGCACCACAGTGTTTTGAGAAGCTACATAGAGAGAAGCTACATAGAGTATCTATGCTGCTGTGGTTGTCAGCTCGCTAACGGACAGGTTTACTCCTGGGAGGCTGGGAGATAGGGCAGAGGTAATGTCTCATTGCCCCAGGCTTCTGTCTGTGTGGGTGTCTCTGTAGCCCGATGGGGATGTTCTATCAGATCTGCTGTAGAGACCCCTGGCCGACCTGTGTGTCTCAGCCATTCTAGCACAATGGGCTGTGATGGGACCGGGTGTTGGGCTACAGCTTCTATTTGCTCAGTCAGGAAATACAGTATAGGTGTGTGTGTGATACATTTCTGGTGTTTTTCTGTATTTAGCTTGCATTCCACATACACTGCTTTTGTCACAGGCTCAAATTCTACCACTGAAAACCTAATTGTCATGCTAGGGAGTTTTCTGATGATTCACTGGACTTGAGGCATAAACCTTGGCTGACATTGAGGTACAGGCGAAACCCGAGAGCTGTAGCTAGCTTCAGGTTTTACAATGGGATTTAGGGCCACTGGCTTGGGCGTTAGCAAGACACTTGGCTTACTGGTCGCTTTCACTAATGATGTGACTGTGCCGCTGTGAGACTGTGAGTCACTAGTTTTGGGCACTGTTCTTAATTCTCAGTGACTCAGCAGGGCCGCCACTAGACCACTCCGCCCTTCGGGCAAGGGCATGTCCAAGGACACTACTACTTCAGCATTACTAATGCATGTTGTTTAACTTGCTCTGAAAATACTGCATTCATACTGTTCAACTACAGGCAAGGATATGTCGGACCTTGCAACTCTATTAATCATGTAAGGCCTACTATACTTAATATAGTAAGGGTTATTTGATATTGTACACATTTGCAGCTAAAAGCTGAATTGCAGTATAAAAAATTAATAAAAATAGATTTAGCTGGGTTGAAAATGAAGTCTCTAGTCCGCCTCAAAGAGACTGATTCTGCTGGCAACACGGATCTGCATTATGTTTGATGGTGTATGGTCATTCAGTTGGTCTGGGAGAGGTTAGTTTGGGTACCAGCCTGAGTCGTGTCCACTTGCATGTAGTAGTAGGCCTAGTATGTCCCTCACTCCATGAGGTTAACAGCATCCATACCCTTAAACAAGGAGTTGTTTGTGACTTGTTTGATGTCAACTGATCAAGCCAGTCAGGAGGCCATTCTCTATCCAGTTTGAATGGGATTGTTTGTTTAGACGTCTGTTCTGACGTAAGAGCCGTCGCTCTCTGTTTGTCTCTTTATCTACCGTGCTGAATCAATTTTCCACCTCGTATTCCCTCACCAAATAGTTGTTTTTAACATTACAGTGTTGTGTGATATCTTTCTCTGAATGCTGCCTCTGTATTGGGGCCGGTTGACGACTCAATGTTCGCCTAAGATAAGGTCAGTTAGCGTGTGTTCACACCTCAAGGCGATGACAGCTGGCTCTTCAAAAAATAAGTCTGAATATCACTCAGTTAGTTCGGTGACTCCGCCAGTAGCTGAGGGCATGTTCGTTCACTGAGAGGTCGCTGTTGGGTTGGCCTTTTCCACGTAAAACCAAACCACTCATTTCCTCATTCCGTTACAAAACTCTTCCATTTGTCTCTTTCATGCCCCTCGGAATGTTTGTGGGTTTTATATTATGACACACTCATGCACACACACTGTGGGTTTGATATGATGAAGCCTTTGGCAGTGAGGCACTCTGGTACTGAACAGAGAATGGATGGAGGAGAATGTGGTGTTTTCTCATGGGTCACAGTGGGTTACGCTAGAGGAACAGAAGAACATTTCGTACCCTGTGTGGGGGAATCATTCTCCCTGATTCACCCCATTAGTGATAGATGAGGCTCACAGGTAACTGGAGCGGATGAGAGACAATTCAACTGACATTAAAAGTTACAGTAACCCTTTATTATACACAGTCCTATTCCAGCTAGCATTCAACTCAATTGTTATTTTCTGTACTGTACCGTAACATTTTACCATGTGAAGAGTGGACTATTAAATAAAGAGTAACTTTGGTTGCTGTGTGAAATGTGATTGGTCACTCAATGTGAATTGTGATTGGTCACTCAATGTGAATGGATCTCTTGTTTTCTGCAGGAGCTGGAGCGGGTGACGTCATTACAAACCAATCTACAGCTGGCTGCAGTGATCTGCACCAACGCTAGGAGGTAAGTACTCAGATGTGGCCCACCCTCCCTCTCAAAGCTTGTTCTCTTCCATTGGGGATGCTTGGGGTTGAATATTCCTCTCAGCATTGAGCCTGCTAATCAATATCATTCCCACTGTGTACATGTACAACAAGTTTACCTGTACTTCAATTCAGTCAGAGTTGGGAAGCATTTTGAGACCACTCTAACAGAACTGTGCCAGGATGGTAAATGTCTCATGATGTCACTTCCTGGTTCCAGGCAGCTGAGTATTTCAAAGGAGGACTTCACAGAGGCCAGCCTGGGGCTCCTAGCCAATCAGAGGAGGAGACAGCTGCTCACAGGGCTGCTGAAGTCACTGAGGACCATCAAGACCCTGGTAACTGTCCAAGTCACCATGTTGCTTTAAATCTAAATCCTGATACAGACATATGGATATCTACATGCATCATACAATTCAGTTGTGGGATGTTACATTTATTTCGTAATTGAGTGTTAACATTTATGTTGTGGTTCTTGATAAAGATGGTCATTCTTAAAGGGATTTTCGCAATGATGCCCTTTATCTACTTCCTCAGAGTTGGATGAACTCGTGGATACCATTTTTATGTCTGTGTCCAGTATGAAGGAAGTTGGTGAGCCAATGCTAACTAACGTTAGCGTAATCTTAACAAGACTTCCAGTCATTGCACTAATGCTAGTTAGCAATTGCGCTAGAGCTAGTTAACAACTTCCTTCAAACTGCACGCAGAGACATAAAAATGGTATCCACGAGTTCATCTGACTCTGGGGAGGTAGATAAAGGGCCTTATTGCCAAAATCCTGAAGTATCCCATTAACTGTTCTCCTTGTTGTTTTACAGCAAAGGACTGATGTTAGACTCAGTGAGATGCTGGAGGTAAGAGGCACGCACGGGTGCTCTAGGAGGCTGAGTTCAAATGAAGCTCTGTGATTAAATCCAGATCATTATGAATCCCTGAATCCCATTTGTCATGGCAGACCATCCTGGACTCATTCCTGCTGCTGTCAGCATAGCCATAGATTTGAGTAGATTGAGTAGTTGTAGCCCATAGGATAGAAAAGAGCTGACGCTCTGAGCTATCCCACCAAGACCAAGCTACATACTAGATGTAGCCCATGTTTAGAGTAATGGGTTTAGAGTAGTGGTTACTAAACCTTTGTCACTCTGGCTCACTTTAACACAATATGTTTATATATTCTTGTATACACCAAAATATGTACTAAACAGGAAGTTAGCCCTAGTATTGACCCACCAAATTATGTTTGACAGAGTCTGTTTAATGTCTGATATTCCCGTTCTTGGCTTGTTTCCCTCTGTCTGTCCTGTAGGAGGAGGACTATCCAGGTGCCATCCAGTTGTGTCTGGAATGTCAGAAGGCTGCCAGCACATTCAAACACTACAGCTGCATAAGGTATGTTAACATACCAACTACTACAGTATGTTAAGATTACAACTACTACAGCACATTCAAACACAATGTATGCTAAGAAACCCTAGCCTCATCTCTTCAGATCTAAGGATTGGCCCAGTTCACATTTTAGAATCAAACATATTTTTGCAAAATGTCAATACATTTTGCCTTGTCATAAGTAAATGCTACTGGCTTTGTCAGTTGAAAGACTCAGACAGTGTAGATAGTTCATGTGAAGTAGGGTGAAGTTGCCCCTAGATGCTGATCTTGTTTTTTTATGTGCTAGAACACTAATGGTTAAGGTTAGGATTTTATGTGCTAGAACACTAATGGTTAAGGTTAGGATTTGGGGAACGGAAGCTGATCCGAGATCTATACCTAGGGGAAACTTTACCCCGGACCTAGTTCATGTACATGAAGCTGCATGTGGTGAGTGAGTTCATTCAATGCTTTGTGTTTTTGAACGACGTAAGAGCAGGCTGAATACTTTGTGAGGGGGAATTGATAGGACTGTGACGGTCTTGGAATTTGAGGTTATGGTAATTGACCAAGCCAATGTACACGGCCACCGACATAATCGTCCAGGGGGGGCTGTTGGCGAGGTCAAAAAATGGGAGGTCACAATTCTATTTGTACACTTGTTTACATGGATATGCTTCTTAGTAAAACCTATTTGAAACAAGCCATTACACTTCGTTATTATCATGGCATTTCATTATTATTATGCAGGTTATTACTTATAAATGTATTAATTAACAAATTAAGAAATGCCAGGTTGGAGAGGATCTGTCACATTTTCGTATTGACAACATTAATGGAGTCAGAATAAAGATATATTTCTTCCTTGTCTGTTGGCTTTTCTGCGTATAAAATAAATACATACAGATTTTCTCCCACTTTCCCGATATATTCGCATAACGTCACAAACCCTGCTCCTGCGGTCATTCGATTGCAGTGGAATTGGCATATGTTTTTCAGTGCGAGGATGCCATAATGAGATAAATAATGTAGCATAAGCTACTGAAAACAGGCCTTTTACGAGATTAAATCAGAGCATGAGTGTTTGATTCTTATTAAAGAGATGGAGTCCAGACAGGCTACTTAGGAAACTTTCTGAATGGACATATAGGCCAATAGATAACCAAGATGGCGTAGCAGTGCAGTCGTGTACTCTTGTGTGTCCGTGTAAATAGCCTGTTTTTGTATTTTTTTTGTCTTTTGTTGTATATATTCCCCTATTACACTTTTCATCCTTCTACTAAATATACTTTCCTGCAACCCGCCTCACTCAATGTGGAACGGATTCTATTATTTACTTACCTTTTATCTAGAATCTCCAGTTGAAACTAGCTAGCCAGCTAACTAGCTACTTGCTATTAGCCACCGTTAGCGTTTTTTCACCCAGAACATCGGATTTTCTGCCGGAATAACTGAATCACTGGACCTTAACACCGGATCGCAACCAGCTAGCCGCAACCGAATGGATGTTGCTGTTGGCTAATCACCACTGCCCCAGAAGCAAGCACCAGTTAGCCTTGAGCTAGCCTCGAGCCAGGCCCATATCCCGACTATCTACCTCCTCTGTTTACTGGACGGGAGTAGCCAGCTAACTAGCTACTTGCTATTAGCCACCGTTAGCAGGTTTTTTTCACCATTGTCCGTGGCCTGCACTACCTACCAGCCAGCTCTAGCCTGGACTATTATCGGCCAGTCTGCACAGCGCGTTAATCGACCCAGAACATATCGGAATTTCTGCCGGAATCACTGAATCACTGGACCTTTAACACCGGATCACCACAACTAGCTTGCTGCAACCGAATGGATGTTGTGGTTGGCTAATCAGCCTTGAGCTAGCCTCGAGTCAGGCCCATCTCCCGGCTATCTACCTCTCTGTCAACCGGACGGGACCTCCTAGTGTCGACACGGAGCCCTGCCGATCCATCACGACTGGTCTGCCGACGTAATCGTCTGTGGTTTCAACAGGCTTCCCGTTGCGACGACCACGAAGATCCATCTGCTAGCCCCGGCCCACTAGCACACGCAATTCAACAGCCGTGCTTCCTGATCGCCTGTGCTGTAGCACCAATTCGAACTGCTCTCGGACTCACATTGCTGTTCACTGGACCTTATGATCACTCAGCTGCACAGCTGAGCCTGCTAGACTGTTCCTTTACACGGTACCCTGTCCTGTTTTATCTGTTTAGCCTCAGCCCAAACCTTCATCACCATTACCAGTTGTTGTCTTAGCTCTCTCGAATAACACCTGTGAATGCTTTATGCCTCTCTCCCATGTCAATATGCCTTGCCTATTGCTGTTCCAGTTAGTTATTATTATACAATTTCACTGTAGACCCCCAAGTCCCTCTCAAACTGCCTCAAATAGCTCCTTTGTTCCACCCCCCATACATTCGGAGACCGGCTCAATCGGTGCCTCCAGTGATGCTATCTCTTTCATTGTTACCCAATGCTTAGGTTTACCTCCACTGTACTCATATCCTTCCATATCCTTGTCTGTACATTATGCCCTGAATCTATTCTACAACGCCCGGAGAACTGCCCCCTTTATTCTTTGTACCCAACACACTAGAAGACCAGTTCTTAAAGCCTTTAGCCGTTTCCTTATTCTAGTCCTCCCCTGTTCCTCTGGTGATGTAGAGGTTAACCCAGGCCCTGCAGCCCCCAGTATCACTCCTACTCCCCAGGCGCTATCATTTGTTGACTTCTGTAACAGTAAAAGCCTTGGCTTTTTGCATTTTTACATCAGAAGCCTCCTTCCTAAGTTTGAGTTATTCACTGCATTAGCACACTCCGCCAACCCTGATGTTCTAGCAGTGTCTGAATCCTGGCTTAGGAAGGCCACCAAAAATTCAGAAATGTCCATCCCCAACTACAACATTTTCCGTCTAAATAGAACTGCCAAAGGGGGTGGAGTTGCAATCTACTGTAGAGATAGCCTGCAGAGCTCTATCATACTATCCAGGTCTGTGCCCAAACAGTTTGAGCTCCTACTTCTAAAAATCCACCTTTCCAGAAATAAGTCTCTCACTGTTGCCGCTTGCTACAGCCCCCCCTCAGCCCCCAGCTGTGCCCTGGACACCATATGTGAATTGATTGCCCCCCATCTATCCTCAGAGTTCGTACTGCTTGGTGACCTAAACTGGGATATGCTTAACACCCCGGCCATCCTACAATCCAAACTAGATGCCCTCAATCTCACGCAAATTATCAAGGAACCTACCAGGTACAACCCTAAATCCGTAAACATGGGCACCCTCATAGATATCATCCTGACTAACTTACCCTCTAAATACACCTCTGCTGCCTTCAACCAGGATCTCCGCGATCACTGCCTTATTGCCTGCGTCCGTAACGGGTCCGCGGTCAAACGACCACCCCTCATCACTGTCAAACGCTCCCTAAAACACTTTAGCGAGCAGGCCTTCCTAATTGACCTGGCCCAGGTATCCTGGATGGATATCGATCTCATTCTGTCAGTAGAGGATGTAGAGGATGCCTGGTTGTTCTTTAAAAGTGCTTTCCTCTCTATCTTAAATAAGCATGCCCCATTCAAAAAAATTCAGAACTAAGAACAGATATAGCCCCTGGTTCTCCTCAGACTTGACTGCCCTTGACCAGCACAAAAACATCCTGTGGCGTACTGCATTAGCATCGAACAGCCCCCGCGATATGCAACTTTTCAGGGAAGTTAGGAACCAAGCAGTTAGGAAAGCAAAGGCTAGCTTTTTCAAACAGAAATTTGCATCCTGTAGCACTAACTCCAAAAAGTTTTGGGACACTGTAAAGTCCATGGAGAATAAGAGCACCTCCTCCCAGCTGCCCACTGCACTGAGGCTAGGAAACACTATCACCACCGATAAATCTACAATAATCGAGAATTTCAACAAGCATTTTGCTACGGCTGGCTTCCACCTGGCTACCACTACCCCGGCCACCAGCTCTGCACCCTCCGCTGCAA